TTTTTTTTTTTTTTTATGTTTTTCACGAGCGCTCGTCTCTTAACGAGCCGAGCTGTCTATGAACGGGTCCGCTCGGCTCGAGCTCGAGCTCGTCTTTTGACGAGCCCGAGCGGCTCGTGGATCGCTACAGTACGAGCCGAGCCGACGAGCCGCTCGGCTCCATTGCCATCACTACTACACCTACGAGATGGAGATATGGGCTGAAATTCAATGGCCCAACAACATTCATATTAGTAGGTCCTACCTACTCTATGTAGACCCTTAGTAGGTCCCACGTTGTCACACTCAAAAAGGACAAAGCCGTAATTATATAACTTCACTCTCCAATGATTGTTCCCTGACAGGAATGAGTCAGTCAAAATTGAGAACCACATCATCTTCATATGACAGACAAGTCCTCAGAATAAACTCCCACCGTTAAATCCATTCAAGTAATTTATTCGCATGAATCATATCTCAATATTCACTTCATATCCAAGACCTCTTCTCTGTCAGCCATCAAGAATTTAAGAACCCTTTTGTTTTTTTGGCTTTCATTTCCTTGAATTGAAGACTTTTGAAGAAACAATAATTTTCTTGTTTGATTTCAAGAAAAAATTGAATGGAGTTAGTGCCCTTTAACTCTGATTCCAAATCAGAACCAAACAGTTCATCTCCTCCCTGGCAAGACATGTTCCGATCTGCATCCATTAGGAAACCGGAAACTAACGACGCGCCTCCTCCAAAATCCCACGCGCCACCGCCACCACCACAAGATGGAGGCAATTCTCTCTCCAATGATCCACAGGTACGTCTTGCCCTCTACATAACCATGGCACACGCAGGCCTTGCCTTTGCAGTATTTGTTCTCTATGGAGTCTGCAAACTTCTTGAGGATTTTTTAAGGCCAATTTTATGGGCTGTGCTCTGTTCAATCCCATTAAGAGGAATTCAACAGACACTTGTTGGATTTTGGTCTGAGCCGCTGACATTAGGGCTCACAGAGACCATATTGGCTGTCCCGGTAGCTATATTCAGAGTCTTTGTTGGGACTCTTGTAGAGATTAAAGAAATGATTTTTCGGATTGTTCTTAGGAAAAAGAAGTCTAATATTCTGAGGAGGAAAAAGAGTGGGTTTTACAAGTTGTTGAGGTGGCTTGTCTCCTTTTGGGTGTTTGTGATAGCCTATGAACATATTGGTAGTTTTGGGTCTATTTCACTTCTTGCATTAGGGTTCATGTTTACAGCTACTGGTGTGGAGTCAACAATGAGTACAGTTACTTCATTGAGGAGTCATAGCTTTCGCCGCTTCCCGGTGAGTGCATTTTTCACTAGAGGTATATTGAAAAGATTGGAGACTATGGTTGCTATAGGGTTGATTGTAGGAATTAGTGTGGGATCCTTGGCTGGCACGATTTTCTTCTCGTACAAAATTGGGGTGGAAGGAAAAGATGCTGTTTTTGCACTTAAATCTCATGTGGAAGAGAGTAATTATGCTGAGAAGATTGGGGTTAAGAAATGGATGGATGAAAATGATGTGCCTGGAATGGTGGATACTTACTCGACTAAGTTTTATGAAACTGTGTCTGATCAGATTGATGGTTTGGCGATGCAATACAACATGACTGAGTTTGTTACGGGGATCAAACATTTTGTCATAACCCCTTCATCAAATTCATCAGGTAAGTCTACAGCACTGATGAGCCCTTCTCCGTACGCTGAGAAATTTTTGAGCTTGAAAAGGAGAGTAAGGGAGCGCGAGTGGGGGCAGATATACACAGAAGTGGATGGAATTTTCAGGGAATTTTTGATTACTAGAGAGGATTTGGTTGAGAAGGCTAAAGGCTTTGCTGTTCAAGGAATGAATGTGATGCAGAGTGTATTAGTTAGCAGTAAATCTGTTCTTGGTGGCAGTGCAAAGCTCATGTTCTTGGTTGCGAATTCTATTGTCTCTGGAGCTGCAGGGTTAATCAATTTTCTTTCGCAGACAATGGTTTTCTTTTGGGTTTTATATTATCTAATCACATCAGATTCCGGCGGAGTTACAGAACAGGTTATGTATATGCTTCCCATTTCGCAGTCTGCAAGGACTCGATGTGTTGAGGTTCTTGACAAAGCTATTTCTGGGGTTCTTTTAGCAACTGTCGAGATTGCTTTCGTTCAGGGATGTCTGACTTGGTTGCTATTTAGACTATTCTCTATACACTTCTTGTACATGTCGACTGTGCTTGCATTTATTAGCTTTGTTTTGCCGTTATTTCCTCCTTGGATTTCAACAATTCCAGCTGCTCTGCAACTGGTTTTGGAAGGTAGATACATATTGGCCGTCTGCTTATTCATTATTCATCTGGTGCTTATGGATTATGCAACTACTGAAATTCAAGAGGAGATTCCTGGCTATAGTGTTTATCTTACTGGTCTCAGCATCATTGGCGGCATGACATTGTTCCCATCTGCATTGGAGGTAAGTACTAAGTAATCCTGACTGTTGATCTTATTATTCTGCCTGTCACTCATTTATGGACTATATGATTTCCCCAGTAATTTCTCTAGTATGTCTGAAGACGATTATGTTTGAATATACAAGCAGTCTGAGTTTATCATGCTTTACGGATCTGTATATGTACAGTATTACTTAGGAAAAATGCTATGGAATGTTTTAGACTGCAAAGACTTACATTATTGCCTGATATTTTATTTATCAAGGTTCATGAGAAGTAAAAAAATTCGTCTCTAACTGATAGCTTTCGTTATGAAAAGGTTTATCAACTTTTTAACCCGCAAATCATTCTTTTTCATCTTTTATGTAAAACAGCGGAAAGTTCAGATTTTTATTTTCATGTTGTTAATAGTTGTGAGACAGCCTACATATGCACAAAATTAATTTTCGAGGTGAAGTTAGAAGCCTTATCTGGCAGCAGCCTTTTCTTTCCCCACCAAAGCTTATTTCCATAGCAAAGAGAGGACACTTGAAGAGCTAGTTTTACCTTTAGCCCCCATTTGGTTTAGCTTAAAAAATAAATTTTGATAAAAAATGATGAAACCTGTGGATAAAATAGTGGGTCCCATGAAATGTGGTTGACAATGAGATCGAGGAAAAATGAGTTTTAGAAAATAGGGACTAAACGGAGGGGCTTAAAGCGTATTTGGTAGGGAGCATTGGATAGAAAATAAGCTAAAAATCTCGTTTATTATACATCTAGTCGTACTCTGCACCAAACGTGCACTTGAAGTGTAAACGGGTCCCACAGATGGCCCTTAATGTTGGTATTTTGTAGATTTATGTCCTTGTATGATTGGATAGAAAATTTGGTTTCAATGTTGGTTAACTGTGTCATTGTGCAGGGAGCAATAATGGGGCCACTGATAACAACTGTTGTAATAGCTCTAAAGGATTTGTATGTAGAGTTCGTGTTGGAACTTCCAAAGGAGAAAATTAATTAGTTGGTATTTTTCTGGAAATCTGTGCTCGAGCTGATTTGTTGGAAAACTGCTGCTGTAACCATCTCGAGTTTCCATTTTTTCACATTGCTCTCTCCAACATGGCTTGTTTCAGTAATTTTTTATTGATTTGGGGTGTCTGTGTACCTTTCATCCCTTTAATTGTAGTATTCACTCGGTTGTTTATAGGAAAAGTGTACATTAATGCATGTAAAGAAGAGAAGTTGTTTGATCCCATTGTTGAAATCAAACTTGCAGTTGCAAATAATGAAATTTTTCATATTCATGTACACAGATGGTCAATTATGGTTAAGATTAAACCGAAACTTGGTATCATGTTTGAATTTCTGCGCGTCAGAGGTTGAACGCAACCCTTTTTCCTATGTCTTGTGGACGTTAATTTTCCTGTTTATCTTATTAAGAAAGTGCTCTACAACGTATCTTGTTCTAACATATCGTTTGACGGCGCTTTTGGAAAAGTCAAATATTTTTTTAAGAGTAATAAACTATTTTTGACATGTTTGGATAATTTTCTTCAAGTCCTTTGTCTAGTTAAAATAACTTTTAGATGATAGCCTTCCGATGAAACTCTTCTACAAAAGGTATAAGCAAAAGCAGAAATCAAACGGGCCATAAGCAAGAGATGTTTAACCATTAAAATTTACTTTATACAATGTTCTAATAAATATCTCATTTTATATTAAACACTGATAACGTATCATATAAATTCATTGGTGAATTTTAAACTGAATTCAAACGTGGAGGTCTATCATAAATTTATCCACCAATAAATTTATATGACACGTCAATACCATAAGCGCTATGTTAAACGCACTACAATAGATGGTGAGAGATAATGATTAGTTACAAAACTGATTACACCACCTATTGTAGTGTGACACGTCATCCACGAGCTCGTCCGTTGGTTCAGCAAGTCGAACCGGCACACAAGCCACTCGCGGGTTGTCTCCTTTTCTTTTTTCAGTTGAAAGTCACATTTTGTAGCTAAAATGCAAGCCTGAGGCGAGCTGGCTTGCTAGTTAACATTGGCGAGCTACTCGCACCAGTGTTTCGGTGCTTGGGCGGTTGGGCCTCCCGACTTTAACAATCCATAAATGGGACAGATCTGGCATGGAATAAGGTCCATACGGGCCCAGATTAATGGATCAGCCCATGGCAGGGCACATGTTGGACTGCACTGTTCTGGTAGGTATAGAAAAGAGAAATTCACATAAATAGCACCGAGTGGAGGAAAATTAGATTATATGGCAGACCTAATTTTCGCATTCAACTTTGTATGTCCTACTATTATAAATAAAAATAGGATAATTATATTCATAGTTTTGCTAAATTTTACATACAGTAGAGATCCTCAATGTTTGTTTATTGAAGCATTTATGTCCCAAACTTTTTCGAGTCGAATTCATATCCTCGACCTTCAATTAAATAAATATCACGTCTAGTATCTGATGATTGTATATGACCAAATATTCTGCGTGCTTTGAAATTAAGGGAAAATATTTTGTTGTTCTTTTTATTTATTGCTTATTTTAAAATACGAGGACAAATAAGTCTTTTTAAAGGATAATTTGGAATTTCGATGCAACTACTTGATTGCCTCATGTTTAGTTTCTAAACTTGTTCGAATACTAAAATAATTATTTATTTGACTAAATAACATACTTATTATCGATCTTGAATACTACAAAACTTATTTAGCCCCTGTTTGTCTACCATTATGGGGAGAAAAATGGTGTAATGAATAGTATTTTTTGGAGAATGTGTGGTTGAAATTTAAAATAACTTTATTGATTTATGTGTAGAATATTTTATTGGGTGAATATGTGGTGGAGATTGTTTACTGTAGAAAACAATTTTTGGGATGGAAAATGTGTGGTTGAAATTGAAAGAAACTTTATCGGTTTATGTGTAAAATTTTTTATTATTTGAATGTGTAGTAGAGATTGATTACTGTAGAAAACAATTTTTTGAAAAATGGTAGACAAACAGGGGCTTAATTACTTATAAATAAAGTTTGTAATCTTAGCCAAACATGATCTAGTGATTACTTCTCTACCACGTGGCTGAAATTTTTCTATCATGCTTCTCTACCACGTAACTAAGTTAAGTTATGTTATGTGCAAATCCAAGTGGCTGAAATTTTTCTATCATGCTGAAAATAACATTGATTTTATCATATAATAAATTTTTGTACATGTAACGTAGCTGCTAATCCTTCCACTGTATTACACGTGGCAGTTGGTTCTGTGGAAAGACAACACAAGGCTAACTAGTGGGGCCATGGATTGGTTGACCAACCATTCTCTACCCGCCAGATTTCGAAATCTTTTTTTAATAATATTTATTTTTCAATTATATATTCAACATTATTCTTAGTTTAGATTATAGCGTGATTAGCCTGACAAGGATGATTTGTGCTTTGTTGAATGTTCATCGTCTTACCCGTTTGAACTTTCAGAGGAAATGATACAACATGATGTGAGAACTCTTGATTTTAAGTATTTTTACGCCTTAAATCCTGAAAAGTTTTATTAGATTTTTTTACAGCTGTGGAGCTTAATTATTGATGACGTGTAGAGCCATTAGAGTGTGCATTTTTTTAATAGTGAGCTAATGTAGCACGAAAAATGACGTGAGACTCACGCTGAGGCAAAAATATATAAATCTTGCGTGTTCTTATGCCTATTTTCCGATAGTCGTGTTATAATCAACCTCCCACATAATCGTTACGTGAAAAATTCGTATTGAAAATGATAGGCTGAAATTTATGAACAATATCTTTAAATTTAAAAGATTAATTGATATTTTTTATTTTACTCTTTAATGACATTGTATGGTAAGTTGACAATGCATTGATTAAGTGGATGATTCATTGTAGTATTATTGTCAATTATACTCCATCACATTCCGTCACTACCAGCATGTTTGAAGCAGCAGCAAGAGGCAGCAGAGCTTTCAGCTTTGCTTACTGAATAAACAAAGCCCTCTCTGAGGAAGTTAGGCCACTGGTTATTGTTATATATTCCAATTCACTTGGATTCAAAGCAAAACTGTTTGATTTTCAGTCACCATCTCATCTGCTCCGCTGCTATTTTTAGTTGTACCCTTCACCCTTCTGCTCCTCGATCCTTTTATTCGCAGCTCGAATCCATTCATTTCCTTGTGCTCTATCCATTTTCTGATGAACATCAGGTATTTCCTGATGACACCAGATCAGTTATGCAACTCTAGCAGTGCAGTCTCCTTTACACCAGTTTTGCCACGGGCTGTCGAAGACAGAGAGATATCAGCAAATAATTCAAGAAACAGGGCTGCCCCTTTTACTACTTTCTTAATAAGAATAGCCATGAGAGTATCAAGATCAAGGTGTTACAGTTTCTTGAGAAGAGTTTTTCATTACCAGAACGGATCAAGATTGGATCTTGGGTCGAATCCATTCAATTCTCGGACCTGGATGTTGATGGAATTTCTTGCTTTAACCGTTCAAATTACTCTCATTACATATACTCTGTGCATCGCCAATGATGAGAGGCCGGTTTGGCCCATGAGAATATGGGTTTCCGGGTATGCTTTAGGGTGTTTTCTGAGCCTTGTTCTCCTCAACTGGCGCTATCTGTTCTTTTATGCATCTCAAAGAAACAATAATCCCAGTTTTTCTGATATTGAACAGCAGAGAAATGTCCAAGAATCAAGGTAATTAACACACTTTTTAGTGTAAATTTGTTTCTTATCATAGTATCTTAGTATTAGTACTGATACTATGTTACCATAAGTAGAAGTTTGCAGAACATGGATAAATGCAGGACATGGCTTGAGCTTTTATTTGCGATATGGTTTGTGATGGGGAATGTCTGGGTGTTCGACTCCCGGTTCGGGTCGTATCGACAAGCTCCGAAACTTCATGTCCTCTGCATATCACTGCTTTCTTGGAATGCCATCAGCTATTCATTTCCATTCATACTTTTTGTGTTACTATGCTGCTGTGTACCACTGCTTAGCAGCTTCCTAGGTTACAACATGAACATGGCATCCCATGATAAAGGGGCAACTGATGAACAGCTTGCCAATTTACCAACCTGGAAATATAAGGATGTTGGCAAGAGTTTCGAGCTTGGGAATCCGACCAAAGATGATGAAAATACAGTATGTTACCTTTCTTGGTTATATAAATCTTGTTTTTATGGAGAACAAGTACAATATTGTTCCTTATCCGAGTTTGTTTGATGTCATGTATATTTATTACACCTTACTGAACATGCAACTAATGCTTGGTAAATTTGTTGATAGCTACCCTATCTTTTCCAAATAGGTTAAAACTCCATATTTTCGAAAATCCATGGTAGTGATGAAGTAAGATTTTAGCTACTTCGGAAAAAAAAAAAAAACACTAAGGTTTTAAGACCCTTTTAGCAAAACTTTCAAAAAGTCGAAAGTTAAAATAATTTTTTGAAATGTTTTGACGATCTAGATGAACTTTTAGAGGAAATTGATCTAAAATAGCTTTTCTAGGAAACTTTTCTACAAAAAGTAGAAGCTCTGTCAAACGAGCCCTTAGTATTTAAATCTATTGATTTAAATTGGTAAGTAATTAGGGGCTTATGAATTTTCTGTGTTTAACAGGAATGCTGTATCTGTTTGGCCAAGTACAAAGATAAGGAAGAGATTAGGCAGTTACCATGTACTCATATATTTCATTTAAAGTGTGTGGATCAATGGCTCAAGATTATCTCTTGCTGTCCTCTTTGTAAACAAGGACTGGAGAAATAACCAACACAAAAAAGAGAAAAATAGCAGCAGAAATTTTTTATACTATAGGGAAATACACGAGAAAATGGAAGGTTCTGATATATGTATATTCAAATGGTTGCTAGAGTGAGTGAATTTCTTGTACATTGAAGCTCACCTATAACTAAAATTTATTTGCAAAAGCACGAGAGAATTTTGTTTGCACAAATAAAGAAGTTTTTTCATTTTTTATTTTAATAAGACATCTAGGACCTATTTAGCATGACTTTTAAAAAGTCAAAAGTTGTTTCTAAAACTAAGAAACTACTTTTTATATTTGAAAAGTTACATAAAGAGATATTACTGAAAGACTAAAACAGAAGGAATGAATTATTAGAATAACAATAGAGTGGAGGTATAACAACATTTATAATACACGGTATTCTAGCCAGCAACAAATCCTTTTAGGCAATAACAAATGGTCTGACTTTTGGTATTACAAAGATTATCAAACCTCCATGCAGGGTCTTATGATCAGTAGTACCATTTTTTCTGATGCAAAGGATCCTCGGAGAGACAACTGCAGAGCATACTTATGGTATTACTTAGATCTTGCTATTACTATTCATCTTGGTGTTAAACTCATGGGGATAGGAGACAAACTTTTTATTTCATGAACAGCTGGGCTCGAGATATCTTACAATGAAGGAGGAAATTCCTTTATATAGAGGAGGGGATCCTTCATACACAAGAATAAAACCAAAACATATTACAATAATTTTACAATAGAACAAATGACTTATCACTGCTTTTCATAAAATAGGATAAGACGACTAACACAAAGACAATAATTATACAAAAAGACAAATGACTTATCACCACTTTTGATAAAGCATGATAAGATCCTGACACAGATACAATAATTTTACATTACGACATACACCTCTTAAAAAGTAAGGAATCTACTTTTTAAAAGTTATTTATTACAAACAACAAAGAACTTTAGATAAGGTTTACACGTGAGTTGAGTCATTAAGGCGTTCCGAGGTTTGCTTCTAGAATTTGAATCGCACGGAGGTTTAGCCTAATCCAGGTTGTTTTAGATGTCAATGTGTTTCCATAATAGACTTGCTTCGACGAGTCATCCCAGCAGACAAGAATAAAGGGAAAACGCCGAAGACGAAAAGGGCAAGAAAGCAATGTGAATAGTACAGCGAACATAATAGATGATGCATTAAAAAATATATAGTACACATCACGTAAAAATCATAAGACAGCTCGAGTAATTAAAACCAAATTTATAGAATCATTGGACGACCAAAGAAAAGCGAACATCCAAGAAAGAATCCTATTTTAGAAGCTTCTTTCACCAACCAAAGAAAGAAGAGACTATCTATTTTTTATGCATGTTTTGCAAATACACTAACATAGAAAAATAATTTAAAATCTGCAGTCAGCTTGCAGTACATTTGGTGCTCACTTCTGCCTTAAAAGCTATAGCGGAGAATTGACTCTTTCAAAGCCAAGCAATAGCATAATCAGAAGTAATTGAAGCAACACCGGCTAATGTTTCTTTAAAAGGACAAACTAAACGTCTTTCTTTATTTTCTGATTTCATCTGAATAGTTTCCGTACCGCGAAAGGAGAGAATTGACAAAAAACCAAATGACAGACCACCAAGGAACACTGGTCCGAGTTTTGTGACCAAGTGCATATTTATGAAATCTTTCTTGGAAAATTCAGCCAAAACCTTTTAGTTCCCTGAAGGAAACAATAGGATTTGAAAAATACCTACCATCCAGATGGAAGACCCCTTGAAAGTGCAGCTAAATCAGGTTGCTGATTCCCATCTGTTGCAACATCTGATTCACTCTTTCCAGTATCATTCACCTTTTGGGATCTCCTGCACTTCACTCGTTCTCGCCTGTATCATAAAGAACGGGCACATAAAACTAAAGGAATGGATCAATGATGAAGAAAAGGATCAGGACCAGGTATCTAACAACTTGCATCACACTCAGCTAAGTACTAATAATTCCTAAGATTTCATTTACTAGCATGATGTCTAGAAAGTCCAGGAACAAATACCAATCACCCCCCAGTGGTTGAAAATTAGCATTATCTTTGGCCTCTCCACTGGCAATGTGTTGCGCTCACCATTCCTGCAATTAAAGAGAAAGATGGAAAAACATTATTCATTAATACTGCAACAAGATGCTAAGATTTACAAACCTCTATTTCACATTGTCGTTTCTTCTCTAACATTTTGTTGGGGTTGATACGGCTTCCTTATACTCAGCAGAAAAATAAACCAGCAGAACAGATGCAAGAAACAGAAGCAACACAGCAGAAAGAAAACTGAAGAACAGATTTGGAACAGGAAGAGTATCTTCCTCAGCCTTTTATTTATCAAGACTTTACATTCATACACCATGAATCAGTAGAAGAATTTTCAGATTGTTTTTCTCCAATCTCCACTTCCTACTACAGAAATACTACTCTCTTTCACTCTCGAGCTGCTCTGTTTCTACACACTTAATACAGCTATTTATAGGAACAAAAGGAGAATCGTTTAACTAACAACTGACTAAGGCTCCAGTTGGTTGAAGATTCCATCAGAATTCAGTTGCAAAGACAGTAGAAAAGAGGCTCCTGCACAACTGATTTTGAGGTTGCTGAATTTGATTTCAAGAATCATGTTTTACACATTTCATAGGCATTTTCAGGTTCTTCTTCCCCCTCTTCATGCAACTCCTCTTTTGCAGCCTTCCACTAAAGAAACAGAAAAAACATTAAATTCCCTAAAATAAATTTGTATGAGACATGCACAATTTCACACAATTGAGTTTAAAGGATTACCTTGTCAACCAAGCTAGAAACCTTTTTTACTAGATCTCAATGTGGATACCACTGCAGCAGTCCCTTTTTCACTACGTGGAATTGAAAGGTGAAAAACATATTTATAAGTTGTCTGCCTCAACAAAAATGTTAATGTTAAATGCAATTGCTTGAGTTCTCATGTACAATGGGCATTTTCAACAACTACCTTTAGATTGGACCTTAGAAGTAACAATAGCAGTAGTAACTGAAGAGGTTGATGAGACAGAGATACTTTTAGTGTTCGAAGTAGCTCCTGGAGCTTCGATAGAGAGTTAAGAATCAGGAACCCCTGACAACTTGACAGTTGCCTGGTCAGCCTCAGGAACATTAGCTTTTGTCTTAGGTAACAAACTGGACCCTATTTCTGCATTTGGCATCAGAGGATTCAAATGTTTCAGAGCCAAGGCTTTTGAGAATAGTTTCACTATGCATACATCCCAGAAGACTCCACAGCTGTGCCACTAACCAACAAAGCAGGATTTACGGTTCCACTTTGAAAGCCGTAATATGCAGCAGGTTCCATCAAACTGCTCGCAGCAGTTTGATTGGGTCAAATAGTTAACGAGCCATCTTCGGAGGCCCAATAATATAAAACAGTGGGTCCATCACGTTATTGGGCTACGAAAAAACATATTCCTTACTTTTAACTTCGAATTCGAGTGGAACTACTTGAATTTAAAGGTGAACAAAAAAATCAACTACCCATCTAATCGAATCAAAAATCGTTGATTTTGGTTCACATAATTTAGGTTTCGACCTTTTCACGATCCATAGTGAATGAAATGCTTGGACCTTCTTAGTGCATGTTTGGCAAAGCTTAATATTTATATATTTTGTATGTCTGGCTGCATATGAGCATATATAAGCAATACCAAACAAGCACTTAACCTTGAAATCTTGCATATTTGGGATCAATTGGAATGGAAAATATCATGTAAACTAAGCTTATTTATGCGTAACATTATTAGTAGTTAATACTCATACTATCTAGTCAAACTTTAAATTTAACAACGCGTACAAAATAACTACTCCTTATTATTCACACATTTCATAGTCTTATTATTATTCCTCCTACAAAAGTTCTTAATAATCAATCCTGAACTAGAAGTGTTGAACGATCGAGTCGAACCCGATGATGGGCTAGCTGGATCATCCACCTTCGGGCTCGACCCACCAGAAGAACTGGCTCGCTTCACCAAATGTGGGCGAGTCAGGATCGACCACCACTCGAGTTACCTCACCTGACTCGCTGGCAAACTCATACGAATTGCTTGCATCAAACCCGAGCCCGGTCCAATTTAGCTCGACTCGTAACATTCCTATCCCAGACAGTGGCTTTAACCTTGCCATTTTAATGACTGCAAGTTTCTATGGGCTTTTATAATTATACAATCGTGGAAAGTCATCTGACCAGCTAAAATGGCAGGGTATATGTTCATATGTGGCCTCACAAAATTGTAAGCTGATTTGTGGGCTTTCAGTTGCCCATATATAGTCCAGTCCCATTTCATTGGTTCGATTTGCTTTTCAAAAGCCATCGAGTAGTCAAGTACCTATTGCTTTCTTTTTTTGTATCATTCAACATTTTTAGAATTATTTACTAATTAATGTGAATAAAGAAAAGAGGTCTTGCACACAATTCTTGACTAATCAAGTTTAAACAAGAATATTAGTTTGTTCTCTAGGTAAAGTTTAGGTTGCTTAATTTAATAATTAAAACTCCATGAGCTTGCTTTCCGCTTTATCCCCATAATCTCCCTTTAAATAATTGAAAAACGAGGGTTTTGCGACGCAAATCCCGAAATTAAGGAAAGATAATGACATCCAAGACATAAATTAACTTTTGATTTGGACTTTAAACATGATTAATCCTTGTCCTTACGAGAAAATCATTAGGATTCTCTAAGTTGAAGCTTTCAAGATTGTTTGAAACATGATTTGTAGAACAAACCAATTATTTAGTATACTAAAATTATCATTTAAGCCAAAATAAGGTTCAAAATTAGCTAATCATAGATTTTAACTTTGGCTCAATGGAGCAAGAATGTAGAAGAGAACAATTTTAATGCACAAGGGATGACTTCTAGTGTCTTGTTTCACTCTACTAATATTTTGGGCCAATTAGGCAATTGCTTCGTGCAAGTCTTTACTTCGTGCTCGTTTGGCTAAGCTTTTAAGTGATTATAAGCAGTTGATCTTAATGAATGTGTGTTTAAAAAAATTGTGGATTTTAAGAAATGTGTAGTTAAAATGCCGCCTGATCAACTTATGAGCACTTAAAAAGTTTTGCCAAACAAACACTTACTTTTAAGTTTGAGAAACATTATAATTAAAAATAGGAAATATTGCAGCTGAAGTTCGAAACCATTCAGATCCCAAACCTTCTAATCTTAGCATTTACATCCCAACATTTTTAATAATGTGCAGCTAAAGGATATCGAGACGATTTTCATCCAATTGTCTATCAGTTGATCAAAAGTTATTGGTTTGACCTTAATTTGACCAAACTGAATAAGGGCAATTGAGTCTCTTTTGAAATAATTTTAAAAAATGAAAATGGATTTTAAAAAAAGAAAAGAAAAATGGATCTTTTTCTTCAGCTACCCCAAACACCCCATCATCGCCACTTCCACCACTCCCCCATCCCACCACCATCAGATCTGATTTTGCATGAAACCAGAGATCCAAAGTTTAGTTTCTCTGCAAGGTGGGTGGTGCCATGGGTGAGGGTTACGTGGGGGTGTGTAGAGAAGATGTTATCTCTTTTTTCTCTCTATATTTTTCTTTTTGTAAATTATTATTTTAAATGAAAAAATATTAAGGGACTCGTTTGCCCTTATTAAAATTGGTCAAATAAATGATTTTTGATCGAGTGACGGACAAAATTAAATGAAAATAATCAAAATGTCTTTGGCCACACATTTATTAAAATGTTTGAGATTTAGTAGATAAGATTAGAAGATTTTGATCCGACGACACATTTTTTTAAAGAAAAGATGCATTTCAACTTTATGCATAATCAATGAAAGTCACTCCCCAATTCATATATATAAATATCCCTCTCTCATGTGACATGATCTAATGCCACAAACAAGGACTGAAGACAAAAAACCAACTAATATTCAAATGTGTTTTTGTACGTGGTGGGGGTTGAGGTTGTCACATGGCACGTTCCCAAAAGTTGTCTTCTAAATTAAGTCATCCACTTTCTTCCAATATTACATATTTATTTTCTTCATTAATTTGCTTACCACGTGTTTGGTTTAGATAAAAATTAGAGTTTTAGTAAATTTTAATAAAAGCTGATGAAAGTGTGGTCGAAAAGTTGATAAAATGTGTGGATCCAATGAAATGTGTGGTTGAAAATGAATTTGAGAAAAAATGAAGACCAAACAGAGGCTTAGTTCGAGAGTGACCTGTGCTGTTAAAATCTTTCTCATTAAATATTAGTTAATTTTATCTAATACTGCATATCGAGCCTGCTATAACGTTTAAATTGGTAGAAGAAGAAAAATTAGAGTAAATATTGTGATCCTCATATAACCGAGGAGCAATCAATTGCACTACATGTTCACTCAAGTGATAAGGTATTCATCAATTCCTCAATTGAGTGTTAATTGAAGCCATTATGCGACTAATTTTGCAACCGGCCGATAGTATGACTCGAGATTGTTTGAATAATTATGGTCTCGGGGGAGGGGAGTGAACACAAGAATTCAAATTGTAAGATGCTATCGACATTAGTATATTAGAGTGATATGATTAATTGACAAATTTTATCGTGTGCTTCGCTGTTTTAATCGTGTAGAGCCCTATCTACTTTAAAACAAGTAATTCATCAATAATATTTTTACCAAATTAGATTCTTCTTCTTCTTCTTCCATAAAGTTATCACTTTTATGTTGTAAAATAAGGCAAAGAATACAAAATTGTGGGTAGAGAAGGGACCATTTTTTCACGTTGGGTTTTTTTGTCTCTTCTTTTATTGTTGTCCTTGTCAATTTCTCTTGGTGGGTTAGGCTTTATACATTTAATTTTCACACCCCCTTTTTCTTTTTCTTGATTTTTGGTATTTTATGTTATGGCCTAACTTGGGATGGACAGTGTTGGGTACCCATCAAGCAAATAGGCCAAAATTTGCAAAATTTTATGTTTTTAGTATGAGAAAAATGTGCAAATTTGTGATTTGTGAACATGGACATTTCCCTCTACTCATTGCGGTAGATTTAGAGTTCAGTTGGCAGGACTTTCGACAAGTCAAATATTGTTTTCTGAGATCAAAAAATCATTTTTGAACGTATTTTATATTTTTTTTAAAGAGTTTTATTTGGTTAGACGAGTTTTTAGGAAAAATTGATCTAAAATAACTTTCTCGTGAAACTATTTTCCAAGAAGCAGAAGTAAAACTAAACGTCCTATCAACCTTTAATAGAGAATATTGTTTGATGATATGCTACCTTTGATTAAATCACCACATTATTTTCATGCATTTAAAAAACACGGAAAAGATACAACTTATTTTGAGGAAACATGTTGGGTCGTGCATAGATGTGAGTTAAACTAATCTGTAAGTTACTTATTTTGTTATGCATATTTTTATAAATTTTCTTTTTCAACTATCGTAACTTATTTTCCTTTTTTTTTCTTCAATTATCTTCTAAGTAAAGTCAAATATGAACAATTTTTTTTGTAATTATTTTTAAATTACTTATTTTGTGTAGTATAGTTTTCGAAGTTACTTTTCTAAGAAGCAAGTCTTAACTTTCTTTCTGGGAAAATAACTTTTAAGCACAATCAAATATACACAAAGAAATATTTTTTGTATATAATCCTACATAATCTTGAATGCTATGAAATTACTTACATATACCAAATAGCAGTGTTCTAAAATGCGCGCATATACTTTACATATACCAACATATGCTCGATACGTTTTTGAAACATCTTTCATATGGGATATGTGCGTGATAATTTAATAAATCAATTTCGTTGACCATATATGCATGCTTAAACGTCAGCATGCACACACATTTATGTTAAAAATTGTTTCAAAAATTAGCCTAACATTATCCAGCCCATTTTGATTACTTAAAAAAGAAAATTGAACTTAACAAATATCAAATTAAACTAAATCATCAAACCTCGTGAATTATATGCAGTAATCAGTAGGGTTTTGATGTTTTAAAAAATTTTAAAAAAATCGTAAAGTTGCAAGATATCGACGCTAAGCCCAAGCCTCCTTCTTCTTCGATCTTTCTCTAGTTTTACTAGTAAATGGTGCTAGTGATGAACAATCTTGGATTATTGATGATTGTGATGATAATGACAAGGTTAACAATAATATCATATCATGTACTAGTGATATTAGAAATTTTCGAATTGAAATAAGAGAGCCCGATGAAGATGACTTTACATCGGATAACATAAAAGATGAATTGGATGGAGAAGAGTTTGAATTGGAATCCAATAAAAAGTTAGACAATATTTAGGATTCTTTAAACCAATGTTCATGTATAATTTAAGGGATAATTGCAGCAGCGATCCCGAACCTTTGGATTTTTCGCATACTTTGCCATAACCTTCAGTTTGTACCATCATCGGTCCCAAACCTTTGAAAAATTAGCACTTGAGGTCCAAATGAATGATTTTTATTGGTTTGACCGTTAGTTGACCCGTGAATTTGCCTTTGACCAAATCTAAACCATTTTTTAAAAGATTAAATGGTAACTTTGAATTTAAAAAAAAAAAAAATCAAAACCTAATTACTATTCATCTTCTCCTTTACACACCTACCCCCACACCCCACGTCTTCTTAAACCCAAAACTAGTTGGTCCCATCTTACCCTCTTTGTCGTCAGCACCACCACCGCCCTCCTCCACTGACATTGCCATTATTTCTCATTTTACTTTGAGCAAAATGAAAATAGCTTTGGCTAGCGATGGCCACCAAGAATTCACAGCAAAAAATGGTAACAAATTCGAGATTAAGCCCTTGTTAGACACCCATTTTATGGAAGAATTTGATTTGGAATAGTGATTGATGGAAGAATGTGTGGTTAAAAAGTAAGGAGAATTTTTGGGTTTATGTGTAATATTATTTTATTGATAGAATGTGTGGTTGAAATGAAGAAAGAGAAAAAAATGAGAGAGAGAATGAGTCACCCATTTTAGTAGAAAAATGTGTTTTTGAATAGTGATTGATAGAAGAATGTGTGGTTAAAAAGTAAGGAGAATTTTTAGGTTTATGTGTAATATTATTTTATTGATAGAATGTATGGTTGAAATGAAGAAAGAGAAAAAAAGAGGAAGAAAATGAGAAAAAAATGGATGTCAAACAAGGACTAAATAGAAAACAAAAAATAATGATAGAACAAGTGAAATTGCCTCACCTTTTGCCATCGTTTGTTAAAATTGGAATTGAAAAGTTGCAGTTTTCCCTTATTCGCGTTGGATTATTGACCACCACTCGGGTCCGTTGAAGTCCTCCTTCCATGGGGTTACCTAATTAGGGTGGTTGGTTGGTTTGGGTGAGGGGAGTTGTGGTGGTGGTGTGGGTCGATGACGGTTGGATATGTAAGTGAACAATTTTCTGGTTTTGATTTGGTAGGGCGGGGGTTGGGGGTGATGATGGGTTTATATGCGTTTTTTTTTTAATTTAATTTTTACTAATATGTATAAAATCTAAAATTATCATTTTACCCTTTCAAAAATGGTTTAGATATAGTCAAAGTCAAATTTATAAGTCAACTAATAGTCAAACTAACAGAAATCATCCATTTGAATATCAGGTGCTAATTTTTCAAAGGTTTGAGACATTTGGTGGCACAAACTGAAGGTTAGGATAAAATCCACGAAAAATTCATAGATTTGGGATCGCTACTGCAATTAATCCATAATTTAATTGCAGGAATTGATTACCAAGTAATTGTAGTATTTGTAATTTTGAATAATATTTTTTTCTAAAACTTGAAAAATATGTATAAAGAATACATGATTTAAAACTTGAAAAATATGTATAAAGTTTAAAGAATACATGATTTTATTTATTTATTAGTTTAGAATATTTAAAATCATACTAAAAATTAGAAAACGTATAATTACGTATATGATTCGTGTAAGCACGCATATTTTTATATGGCTTGATACTCGATCGAAATGTATTATCGCATATTACACATTTTAAAACCTTGCCAAATGGTAAGAGACGGCTAGCGAGACCTCCCAATCTAGAAAACATTTACCTTCCAAATAATCCAATGACAATAATATTTACCTTCACGTCTAATCAAAGTATCATCGTATAATATTAAATATATTATTCTTTTGTTCTTTATTAATTTATAAAATAATATAATTAAAAACTCTAAGTTGACGTCAGATTGTCTCTTCTCTTCATTCTTTATTAATTCAATCCTTTGCATCAAGGAAAGGTCCCGACAACAAGACCAGATTTTCAGGTTAAATATAAATTAATATTTATTTAATTTTTCACTTCATGTGCACTTCACTATCCTTACTCACTAGGCTCAAAAATAATAATAATTTAATCAGATCTCCATCTAGTGATAATTAATGTAATATATATATATATATTATTACTACACATTCTTTCTTGCACTTCCAAGAATAACTCTATGTTTTGGATCCCTATGATTAAGAATATTACTTACAAGGTTAATGAATGATTAATATTTGTTACTAATTTTGATTTCAAGCAATAATTTCATTTTGATTTAGTTAAAAATAACTTGGACCATGTTTGGAAATTGTAATAGTGTTATTACGAAGATTGTTGGTAATGAAAACGTTTGAAAAGTATAATCTTAATCGCAGATAATCCATTTCAATCAGAGTCCAAAATTGCAATATTTCTTTTCTTCTTCGAAAAGTATTATAGTAATGATTATTCGTACATTACAAAACAATTCGTTACTACTACCTCTCTTGGGAGTTTGTGCTGTGTCTCAATTCCAGTGTAACGGTTATTCTTTCAGACTAGTTACCGATCATTCTTTTGGTAAGCTAGCCTCATCAACTACACTTTTTATGTCGCTTATATAGAAAGCCATAATCGATAACCTGGTTTGAACAAAAAAAAAAAAATCATTTGAAATGGTACTCAAAAGCTATTGATTTCCAACACTATTGGTGAATATAGCACATTCTTGTAAATGACTTGAAAATAGAATGCAATTCTTTAATTGGTGATTTATCCCAACCCCCAAGGCCTTGTACATTTTCAGGTCTATGAGAAATTGAGCAACTCCAGATTCCTATGAAAAATTACCAAATTTGGGGGAAATGCATGTACCTTCTAGTGGATTAGAAAGTCACCAAGATTGAACCTATAACTAACATGTGGCTGACTCAAGTTGGGACCATTCTATTTTTAATTTTTTTGTTATAAGGGTGTCCATATTTTTGTTAGGACCATTCTATTTTTATTTTTTTGTTATAAGGGTGTCAAAAATTATTTTTAAAATTAAGAAATTATCTTTAAACATAAGCCTTCTATTTTTGATTTTACTTCTTGTAGAAAATACTTTCGACGAAATTATCTTAGGGCAAATTCCTCTAAATATTCCTTTATTCAAGCAATGCACTTTCAGAAAATTATTCAAACATGTTTAAAAACAGTTTCCTACTCCCCAGAAGCTGCTTTCCTAGAAATCTTTTCTACAAAAAGTAGAAGTAAAAACAAAAATTCTTTCAAAGGAACTTTTAGTACTATTCTGTCTAATATACTAAACATGTTATCAAAGTACGACTCGAAATACGTTTGTAAGTTGTCAAGTTTAATTGTATCGAATCATATGTCACAAAAGTGGGTTTGATTAATAGAGTAGCATTGTCTTATAGATGGGGCGTAATGGAATGATCTGGCTCTCTTGCAGTTGGGAGGTAATAACATTCATTTTACTTTTTATGGTACAAACTTCCCTCAATCATTTCCCCATGACATAACATTACAACAATTAATTTACATAAAGAAATCCCAACTACACTATCAGATTTCATATTATGTCAAAACCCAACAGTCAAAATCTCGTTTGGAAATTTCACGAAAAACTTCGAGTTTTGCTCGAGGAGTGTATGCTTACGTGTGAGTTGCTATTCTGTTCTAGATCGGGTTTTGGGTTCTTTCCTCAACACCACGAATGTATTTCGTAATGTAAAACTAATATAAAATATATAGTTTAAAATGTAAATCAATCAAATTATAACGCGAGTAAAGGAGCCTGGCTGCGATAACAAAAAAAAAAAGGTGGAAAGAAGAAACAAGTTCTTGTAGAATATAGTAAAATAAGTAAGAAAAGAAAAGAAGCAATTTCTGCTGACAGATACACCCCACCCCACCCCACCCCAAGAAAACTTCACAAGATTTGCAAAGAAATGAACAAATACACATTTCATTGTAAAAGAAAAAAGCCAAAAACCTACCTGTACATCCATTGACAGCAGAAACAAATAATCCACAAGTATTTAGTTTAATTATGTCTAAATAAAACCAAAAGAAGCCATCATCTCTTAACAGTTAATCCAAATACAATAATAATAGAAAAATCAAAGTGTTATTGGATCCAGATCTTCTGCTTTTACTCTATAAACAAAACATGGGGTTCCCCCCTCAACAATCCCAAAGAACTGTTCTTTGTTTGCAGCAGCAATGCCTGCACACTTAAGAAATCCCTTTCCTTTTCCTAATATATTCGTCTTCATCTTATACGTTTTCATAAATTCTGTTTTCTTTTCAACTTGCTATTCCATTGATGTACAGGGGGAAGTTCTTTTAACATGGAAGAACAGCTTAAACTTTTCGACGACTATGAGTGCATTTCAATCTTGGAATGCTTTGGATCAAAGTCCTTGCAAATGGTTCGGGATACACTGCAACACGAATGGCCAAGTGGAGAAGATAATCTTGACGTCAGTAGACTTGCAAGGTTCATTGCCTTCGAATTTTCAACCACTTAAGTCGTTGAATACGCTTGTTCTCTCATCAACAAATCTCACAGGGACAATCCCAAAAGAGTTTGGAGACTATCTTGAGCTGGTTATGATTGATGTAAGTGATAACACTATCTCAGGTGAGATACCGGTCGAAATTTGCAGGCTAACCAAGCTTCAAATGCTATCTCTCGACACGAATTTCCTCAAGGGTGATATACCTTTAGACATTGGAAATCTCTCCAATCTCAAGCATCTTACACTCATTGACAATCAACTTAGTGGCGAAATCCCGAAGAGCATAGGACAATTGAGCAATCTAGAGGTATTCAGAGCTGGTGGAAATCAAAATCTGAAGGGTGAATTGCCTTCAGAGATTGGAAACTGTACAAACTTGTTAGTGCTAGGCCTAGCTGAAACCAGCATCTCGGGGAGCCTGCCATCGTCTATTGGGATGCTGAAAAAGCTTCAGAAGATAGCGATTTATACATCGTTGCTTTCAGGTCCAATTCCAGATGAGATATGCAATTGCACTGAATTGCAGAATCTCTACTTGTACCAGAATTTCATTTCTGGTTCGATTCCAAAACGAATAGGCGAATTGAAAAAGCTTCAGAGTCTGTATTTGTGGCAGAACAGCATAGTTGGTACTATCCCGTACGAGGTTGGAAGCTGCAGTGATCTAACAGTCATAGATTTATCAGAAAATCTATTGACAGGCAGTATACCAACAAGTTTGGGAGGCCTTTTCAAACTTCAGGAACTGCAGCTAAGTGTCAATCACTTATCAGGTACCATACCTTCTGAAATTTCTAATTGCACTGCTCTGACTCAGTTGGAAGTTGACAACAATAACATTTCTGGTGAAATTCCTGTTCTCATAGGCAAACTAAATAGTTTGATACTGTTTTTTGCCTGGAAAAATAAATTAACTGGAAGTATTCCAGAGTCTTTATCTGAATGTGAGAATCTTCAGGCGCTTGACCTTTCTTACAATGATCTCTCCGGTTCATTGCCACCGCAGATTTTTACCTTAAAAAACTTGACGAAATTTCTGCTAATTTCTAATGAATTATCTGGATTTATACCGCCTGATATTGGAGATTGTACAAACTTGTATAGATTCCGGGTAAGTGACAATAGGTTGGGGGGTACTATTCCATCAGAAATTGGAAAGTTGAAGAATTTGAATTTCCTTGATATGAGCAACAACCACTTCGTGGGAGGCATTCCTCCCTCAATTTCTGGATGCGGAAACCTCGAGTTTCTTGATCTTCACTCAAATGCACTCACAGGCACTGTGCCTGATACTCTGCCCAAAAGCTTACAATTAATGGATATTTCGGATAACAGGCTTACTGGTGAATTGACACCGAGTATTGGTTCACTAACTGAATTAACCAAACTTAATCTTGGGAAGAATCAATTTTCCGGCAGAATTCCGGCAGAGATCCTGTCCTGTAGTAAGCTACAATTGCTAGATCTCGGAGACAATGGTTTCTCAGGTGATATACCTAAAGCATTTGGGCAACTTCCATCACTTGAAATCTCTCTAAACCTCAGTTGTAATCAGTTAACTGGTCCAATCCCAACAGAGTTTTCACTTCTTCACAAACTAGGGACCCTAGACCTTTCCCACAACAAGCTTTCTGGGGAGCTATACATTCTCAAAAACCTTGAAAACCTCGTCTCACTAAACGTGTCATTCAATCAGTTCTCTGGTGAATTGCCAAATACCCCATTCTTCCACAAATTGCCTTTGAATGACCTCGCTGGAAACCAAGGTCTACACATCTCTGGTGGAGTCGTACCAGCTAACAGAATGGACCCTCCTGGGCATCATGCCAAATCCACCATGAAGCTAGCCATGTCAATCCTAGTCAGTGCCAGTGTAGTCCTTGTGCTTCTTGCAATTTATGTGTTAGTTAGAACCCGCATGGCAAGAGCTGGATCCACAGCAGTTGACACTTGGGAATTGACATTTTATCAGAAGACGGAGTTCTCCATTGATGACATAGTTCACGATCTCACATCTTCTAATGTCGTTGGCACTGGAAGCTCTGGAGTTGTGTATAGGGTGACAGTTCCTCACGGGGAGACCCTAGCTGTCAAAAAGATGTGGTCATCACAAGAATCAGGAGCATTCAGTTCTGAAATTCAGACTCTTGGTTCAATTCGACACAAGAATATCGTCCGCCTGTTAGGTTGGGGTTCTAATCAGACTCTGAAACTGTTGTTCTATGACTATCTACCTAATGGGAGCTTGAGCTCACTTCTTCATGGTGCTGGTAAGTGCAGAGCAGAATGGGAGACGAGATACGATGTCATCCTAGGCATTGCACATGCATTAGCATACTTGCACCACGATTGCGTTCCCGCAATTATGCACGGGGACGTTAAAGCCATGAACGTGTTATTAGGCTCTCACATGGAGCCTTATCTTGCTGATTTTGGCTTGGCAAGGTCCATCAACAGTGCTGCTGATAATACTGATGCTTCAAAACAGAGTCAAAGGCCTCACTTGGCTGGTTCTTTTGGATACATGGCTCCTGGTATAATTCATTCTCACTTAGATTCATCACTTCTTATAATTTTGATTATTTCATGGAATTGATCAAGTTAGTTATCTTTTTCCACAGAACATGCTTCGACGCAAAAGGTAACAGAGAAGAGTGATGTATACAGCTTTGGTGTGATTATCTTAGAGGTCCTGACAGGAAGACATCCATTAGACCCAACATTGCCAGGGGGTGCACACTTGGTTCAATGGGTTTCTGACCACTTACGCAGCAAGAACAATCCAGTAGATGTCCTAGATCTAAGACTGCGGGGAAGGGCCGACTCTCAAATACACGAAATGCTCCAAACTTTAGCTGTTTCATTTCTCTGTGTCAGCAAACGTGCCAATGATCGCCCTATGATGAAGGATGTAGTAGCCATGCTCAAAGAAATTCGACATTTGGATCCTGTAAGGTCAGACACTGATGACCTTTTGAAGGGAGGTTTATCAGGCCATCAAAAATCGCCCTCTAATAACAATGTGGTAAATCAAGGATGTTCTAGCTGCTCTTTCGCATTCTCTGATGATTCAGTTTAATTAAGGTTTCAAGAAGACTGTTATCCGTGCGTATTCGAAGGAGATATAGTAGAGGGGGTAGATATTTCAGGATTTTCATGTAACGGCATAGTTTAATTTAACTGTAACAGAGGTGTACTGTATTTATTATTAATGACTTATTGAGTGTACTAGTTAGTGGATTGACAGAGGATGTATTCAAGTAAATCTAAGCAACCAAAGTAGAATAATATGCAAGTCATTAAAGAGTGCATTTGAAGAAATGGCAGAAGGAGACACCATGAAATAATATTTTTTCCCTGCTGGCTCATGTTACAGCAATACAATAATGCAACACAATAAGAGAGTCGATGTCACAGATAAGAGCTCGGAACAAGTGCAAATAGAAGCGCAAAAAATGTCCAACTCGATGAAAGAATGAGGTAAATTAGGAATAGAACTTAGCTCTTCTTGTTATTCAAACAAATATTCTCAGAATCATCTACATCTGGAGACAGGTATTGAAAGCAATAGAAGATAAACCTATTTGAGATCCAAGCTAAACAATGAAATGCTATTAAATAAATAAACAGAGTGGCATTATACATCTGCTAACATCGTTTCCCAAATAAATCATGTACTGAAATTTCTAGAACTGAAGTTTCTCATTCAGTTTTCCAAGCATAAAGAAAGTGGCAGAAGTCTATGGAGGAGGACAGGTTTGCTAAATCTTCACCATCAAGATGAATACTTTCAGGTTCATCTGCACCTTGCTTGAAGATAAACATGCCTGCTCCCGAATGCTGGCCATTATACAGCCAATCATGAACATCCCACAGAATTTGTACGGGCAAATCATCCACCATAATTGTTTCATTGCCTCTAAATCTCCAATGCAAATTAGTTATGCGAATTGATGCAGTCCCATCTATACTAATCCACATTTCGGGATCACAAGGGCCAGATAGAGCAGACTCAATGATGATGTTGTGCTCCGTCTTACCCTGTCCTAATGTAGTTTTGGTGCAAAAACATTTCCTGGCAAACACAATTTCTTTCTTATGCACCAAGGCAGCATCTTGTAAGGATGGTCTGCATTTCGTCCTCTTGAATGCCTCTTTTTTCTGGTCACCTAGGATTAAAACCACCTCTTCTTCCGAAACCAGTGCTACATAGTAATCGGAGGTTGGTTCTGGGCTGCCGCTACTAAATTTTGCAGACCTTAAATCCCAGAAAACATCAACTCGTTTCTCATCAACCTTAAATGATTTCAGACCCTTTTTCCCCCAAAACTGCCACGTTTTAAGATCGATTTTGCACATGTAATGATCTTCCTCATAAGGGTTTTCTACCATGATATGAAGAGAGTGGAAAATCATATTTTTGGCCCATGTTACAGTTATGTTTCGGAACATATCCGCCAGAATGGCTCTGTGAACAAAGGTGGCAAAATTCTGTGCAGGTTTATCTATTGTTGGTTCATCCACAGTCTTCTCTTCCAACTGTCCCTCGTTGAAAGACATCACAGATTCCACAGGAATTCTAAACATTTCTGACCAATTCAACCAGCATTTCCCACCTATTCAAATGTAAGAACCCCAGAAAAGTTTTGCAATCAATTTGTCATAAAAATCCATCAGGGACCTTTCGAAATTTTAGATATCAAATCAGTATCCCATTTTATAAATCCCAAGGAGACTTAAGATTCATAAAGAAAATCACCTCCATCACCTTTCTGACTAATCTAAGGACTATATTTTGGCAATTTTGCCCATGCAAAGAAGAATATGATAAGAAACTAAATATACAGCCTTGTTTTACCAGGATTTTCTTGAATCCATTGAATTTAAATGCTTCCTGCAATAGGATAAAATCTGCAAGAATTGCAGGTCAATCGATCCAACAAATTTTCTTCTTGGCTTTCCACGTCAGATATATATAATATCTGATCAAGAAACAGAATCAAAACTTCAGGAATCAATCTGGAAAAGGGTGTAAATGGGGTTTTGGGGAAATTTTCCCAGAAAATGCGGATGCCTTATTTGAGAGAAGCTTTATTTCTATTGATAGAATGGTATTTCCCAATTATAAGAGTCATGTGGTATTCTTGGCAGTCTTTAAATTTCTATACTAAATTTAGCAAATAAATAAATAAAGCTCATATTTGATGTTTGCATCCCTCAAAAGCTTGTGTTTATATCAAATAAACTAATTCATGCACTCGCCTTCTTTTCCCTTTTCGCGCGCGCACGCGTGTGGGCAACAAAAGCTTTCAGTCTAACATAAGGAAAGACTGTAAAATATTTCTCATAGATGTCTTTACACATGATGAAAGAGACAAGACAATCTCGGAAATTAGAGCACTGACTGTACAGGAGAGTATATCTTCAAAGGAGAATTCCATTTGTATAGAAGATTTTTGTTCTGTAAAATTTACCGATAGACACAATGGCGGGGCGGGCGGGCGTATGTTATGTCATTTTTTTATTGATGCGGGACCCACCAATGTGTGTGTAAGTAAGTTTTCTGTAAAAACGTTTTCTGTACACCGCATTGCTCATCTTCAAAACTTGTATAAAAGGTAAGAGCAGGTCTCTAATATTCATCTGATACCATTCAAGTTCCCAACCGTGAAGTCCAAGCAAAATGGATTCAAAACTTAAAGGAGATTATGTACTAATTACTAAACACTCATTATCACACTGAATTTACACAAGATTTTCATATGTTTTAAAGCATTAACCTTTTCAAGATCAGATGCTTCAAAAGGGAAAATCGAATAATTGATACCAAAATGTTTCATCAATCAAATAACAATCTTGTTACATGTACGTTAAATTTAACATCAAGTTTGACATTGTTATGAGACGACAACTTTTCATACATTGATTTTAAAAATACTTTAAACAATTAATGACACAAATTTTGACACATACAATGACAATATTTACACTTTAAATGTACAACTAGCATAATGGACAAATAAATTGGGCTATGCTAGACGTACAAGGAAAATGGGGTGGGTGGTTTATAGGCAAGACACATAGGGGGGAGGGGATGGGTTTTTTTTTCTTTTTTAAAACATGTGGGGCCCGCCAGGTTGTGAGAGGCCTAACATGCTTCTGTGAAACCCCCACCTGTACGTGGGGGTTTTTCCAAATAAATTTCTTACTTACATTTTGACAAATAAAATATTATGTAGATGGTTAGAAAAAAGTTGTGCACATATTTTTTTTGTTTACGGAATTTTTACAGGTGAAACTGTTTTTTCACCAACTTCTGATGAATTTTCGCTGAGTGTTACCTATAAAAAAATTTCCGTAAGTGTAGCATTGTCCAAATAGTTACGTACCAAAAGCATTTTTCATAAAGAATTACTTACAATGTTAAATTTTAATTATGAATAAATATTTCATTTTTTAAATTAAAATTAATTTATGTAAATGAATTACTTATAAATAAAATATCATTTAGGAATAAAAAATTTCATACACGAAATTCTATGCTACTATCTACCGTCAGTCTACTTCTTATCCAGGGCTCATAACTTCTCAACTCACATGACACGGATAGCAATATTTAGCCGTCGATTATTGAAGAATCTAACGGTAATTAAACATCCCCATCTCCATTCCCCCATAAGATTTGTATATAAATACAGATTTTTCGTTTCAATTTATCAGATTCAAACAAGGAGTCAAAAATGTCAGGAAGAGGAAAAGGAGGCAAGGGTTTGGGAAAGGGTGGAGCCAAGAGGCACAGGAAGGTGCTCAGAGACAACATTCAGGGCATCACGAAGCCGGCAATTCGCCGTCTGGCTCGCCGTGGCGGAGTGAAGCGTATTAGCGGGCTCATCTACGAGGAGACTCGCGGCGTCCTCAAGATCTTTCTCGAGAATGTTATTCGTGATGCAGTAACCTACACTGAACACGCTCGCCGCAAAACCGTGACGGCGATGGACGTCGTTTACGCGCTCAAGAGGCAAGGCCGCACTCTATACGGCTTTGGAGGATAAGGGATTTTAGGATTATGGTTGGAAAATTATCTTTTTCGGTTCTGGTGAAATTATGTATAAATTAGGGTTTTGTATTTGGAATCAATTGGAGATCTGTAGTGGATGGATTGTTAACAGATGATTTTTGACATTTCAGCGTTTACATCAGTTTTTCATATTTTTGCTGTTTAGATTAATTTTGTCTGCTTTAAATTGGTAATTTTGGATGAAAACAATTTTATCTTTCAATTGGATTTGGGATTCGAAAGGATTACCAAACTTGACATTTGTGTTAGTTATAAATGTAGGAAGGAAAGATGACAGTGAAAGTTAGGTATAATTATGAGTTGAGTCGTCTTGGC